CTACTTTATAGAAAATAATGCGGACTTCCCTAATGACGAATACTAATAATATCAGTGACGTACATAGCGGAATGCAAGGAATGCGGCTGCATTAGGACTTTAAACATAAAAGGGCCTTTCTGACCTTATAGAGCAGTGTTTCTTAAACTGTCTTAAGTAATTTTTTAAGAATGTTTAAGAAAATTACTTTAAAATTTCCAAATAAAGATTAGTAATGGTGTAAAAATGTTTGCACTATAGAAAAAAAATCTTTGCAAATTAGATATCAATATATAAGCCATATGAAATAGTCTAAATTTATATTTAGTCTAATTAAAGTAATTATTATTAAAGTTTTATTATGTATGTATGTAATTATTATTATTATTTTAATTTTAACATATTTTTTAAATAAATACCTTTAATACAATACTTTTATATGATTATAATTTATTTACAAATAATTCTAAAAAAGTAGGGATTTCACGATAAATATGGACATCAAAAAGGGTTCCACGGATAAAAAAGTTTAAGAAACACTGTTATAGAGATTATAGTAGATTTATTATTATATAGATTATTTATACCAGACAAACTTTCCATCACCAAGAAGTAATTAGTTATATTTTTGATCATACTTCTATAATGGATCAGAAATATTATCTATATTGTAAATTTCTATACGTGTACGAATATACATATACTATAATCGTGTATGATATGACTGTATCGATTTACTATCAGTTGTGTTCGGTGTTTAAATTGTGTCAGTGTTAAATTTTATATTGATTTTTTAAAATGGAAAATGAAATTCGCCGTATTACTTCAGAAAGGGTAAATGATTTGTTGCTAGTGAATGGGCACAAATTTAGATATATTAGGTAGCGGGCTGATGGATATGTGAGATGGAGTTACTGTAAAAAACAGTGTACGTCCACAGTGTTAATGACGTTTTATGATTTAGTTTTAGAAAATGCTAGTAAGCATAGCCATCCTGTTGATCCAATACAAAAAATTGATCGACAAGTCAAGGTTTAGAATCGAAAGAAAAAATTTCGATTTTAATTTCAATTTTGATTATTGATATTAATTTTTTTTTAATTTCGATTTTGGTTTCAAATACTGGTATTTATTTTTTGCAATTTTGTTTTTGATTTCAAATATCGAAATTCATTGAAAATTTGGAGATTGAACACAAACATTATATAAATCATAAAACATCAGAAAATGTACTCATAGTAAGTATCTGGATATAGTTGGAAATAGGTATCGGAGTTTTAAAATTTAATTTAAATATTGAATTATTTTATTTAATAAACAATTTGGCGACGTCACGCCCAATTTCAAGCGCAATCGTATGCCTTTGAGTAGTAAATATTTTGGTCTTTTGTTATTCTGGCACTGCGCGTAATCGTATACCTTAAAAAGGTAAGTCGCATCCAATCGTACTCCACCGATAAAAATAGAATCGAATATTTGTATTTATTTATTTGTTATTTGTATTATAATATGCAGTGGCCCAACTAGGGGGGGGGGGTTGAAGGGTTGTGTAATTTTTAATTCCCCCCCCCCGAAATTTTTCTGAAGTTTTTACAAATTCTACGTAGGAAAAAAATGGTTTATTTTGATCACGAAAAACGGCTGATTGATATGAAATATGAATATTATAATTGATAAGAATAAGAACAAAACATTATGAAAAGTTTTGTAACTTTAAAACATCAATAATCTTGCTATTATGATTTCTCGATAGTTGATTGTATAATACTTTTTAATGTGGTATCCCAATATGAAATAGAAGTTAAACAGTTTAATTTGTAATTTAAATATTTTACTCATAAATCCAACTTAATCTTACTTCATTATCCCCACCAAACACCTGCAGAAAATGCTTATTTTTATCAAGCGACATTCGTTTCGCCCAGTATATTAGTTAAAATATGCATTTCACTACGTGCTGATAGACTAAATAGGTGACAGTGGCAAATCTAGGATTCTCTTATTGGGGGAGGATATAAAATAGTTTTGTACATAACAAAACTTAATTAAGATAATTCTGATCGTAATAAATAATCTTTTTTGACCCACGCGGGAGATCTATCCCCTACAATCCCCTCTCCCGTATATCAACTACTGATAGGCAGAAATTTAGGGTTTCGAGGTGCCCGCACTCGAATTTTATTTGCAAAGATGATCACAATATTATTGTGTCGTAAGCGAATTTAATATAATTTCGTTTATACGAGCGATTTCATTTCGCATGTTATCGATTTTCAAACACCGATTGATTGATTAACTCGACGGTGGTTTTTGATCACATTTGAAATTGTACGGTGTGCGAACCGTTACTGTTTCGATGCGATGTACACGCTGATGTTTGTAGAAAATCTCGGACAAGTGTAATGGTTACAAAAGTGGTTGTTTTACTGATTGCATTGAATTAAAAAAAATAATAAAAAATGACAACAGTTCTGCGCAGTGGCGTATCCAGGGGGGTTAGGGGGTTATAACCCCCCGAAAATGTTTAGTGTATGTATATTGTTTATTGATTATAATAAAAACACACAAAATTCAAAAAAAATTTAATGTTCCATTTTTTATAACCCCTCCAAAAAAAAATTCTAGATACGCCACTGGTTCTGCGACAGTTACCCGGATTATTTCTTCCCAGTACGGACGAATCCAATATTGCATTTTTATTATTTGCCCTTTACTATATGACCTTGATTGGTTGGGATTCGGAAAATATATTTACCAACACCAACATTAATGCAAACTATTTTTCTATCATACTTGATGATATTGTGATGATCGAGAGGCCCCCGAATTAATTAGCCCAGGTCATAAAAATCCTTAGGACGAGTAAGTACTTGTACCGCATTTGTGTATTGTTTTAACGGTAATTTATAATTAGTGCATATTAGTATGGAGCAGAGCCGTGTCAAACATTTCAGCGCCCCGAGGCAAAATTTTTTCTACGGGGCCACTGGGCACAGGTAGCATATTAAGTGCAGATAAGGGCGCCCCCTTACTTTTAAAAAACTACGACGCCCAGGGGCAATTGCCCCCTTTGACCCTCCTTTAACACGGCCCAGGTATGGAGTCAGACTACAATATTTTTGGCAGCCGATAAAACATAACCTATCGGCAGTCAAATAACATATCAATAACTTATAAAACGCGTTTAACAAAATGAAACAACTTTTATGGTGAATAACGGGTATGATGTAATTAAATAAATATTTATACATTTATGTATATGTTTATGTATTAGCAAGGCATGTAAGGCCTACGCTATGGATTTGAGATTTCTTTTTTAAATGCAGTACTTTTTTTTTTTATTTGCCTTTGTTTACACATTACAACAATGTAATGCGCTACATTATAAATCATAAATATAATATATTTACTATATTTACATAGGCGGCAACAATGGGGGTTGGGCGTAAGGACCTATAGTTCCTCAAATAAAAAGTTATTATTTAATCAATTATTTTTTACTTTTAAAGCAATTTTTAGTACTTATGACTGAAAAGAATTGGAACATATGTAAATATAATTAAAAATTAAATATAAAATGAAATTTCATATAAAAGTTTTTAGTAACATTTGTTATCTCTTATGAACTTATAATGTATACTTATTATTTAAATAGATTAAAAACCATATTTAATTTTTCAAATTAAAATGTTAACATTTTATTATTTTTATTTTTTTGATTTATCGTATACGATAAATCAAATAATTAATAATTCGGTATCTTTCCATATGCTAGTTAATAATAAATTAACATTTTAATTAATAAATTATAATACCAAGTAACATTTAATTCATATATAATTTTAAATATTACTACTAATATTTGTATAAGGAATTTTTTTTTTAATAAAGATTATTAATGTACTTTGTTGATACATAACAATTGCTTACTTAATGCAGACATTCTCGTTTAAAATTAAAAAATTAAAATTAAAATTTAAGGAATAAAATACAGGATGAATGGAATTCCTAGAATACATTCAATTTTTTCTTCGGAGAAGGGGGGATGTTCATTATTAAATTATATAAAACTATATATTTTTGATAAAATAACTCACATAATTGTAAAAGCAACACATCCTTTGCTTAGTTCAAAACCTAAAGAACTCACGGGGAATCTATTTCCCTATTTGTAAGTCCCCGTAAGGGTCGTCAATATGTTTTCGCCCTGGGGCGCAAATCGTTTAAATGCGACACTGGATATACTCAATCCCGGCAATGATAAATATTTTAATCTTGAGACGAACGTTGGAGGGGACGGGAGGCGGGCGCTTATGACTCGAGGCCATTGTTAAACACTGCCGTGTGAGCTCCGACGTCGACGTACAGTAATGTCCTACCTTTTTTCCTCGGCGGTCCACTTTGGTAAACAATTATCTCAAAGCGGGCCACCGAATATAAAAGTACGAATAATATCAATATTAATATAATAATGTTATTTCGTTACACATAGTAGGGTATACAATGAACATGTTGAATTTGTTTTCAACTATTTTATTGATTACAGAAAAGATTACTGAAGATCGAAGTACACGCTGTAGGTACACATTAATTCGATCAGTACACTATTTCAAGTGCACGGGTTGTACCGTGAAATTTCTACATGAAAATGCTCGAAAATCAAATTATTACATTTTTTTTTACATTTCGTTAAATTTAAAAAAACCGTAACGGTACACATTGATTACCTTCGAGGGTCGAACGTGTACCGAACGTCGCCGGATAACAGACCGTCAGACGTACGCGATCGGAATCCGTTCGTCGAACGGTGCGAAATACGTCGTAAATGTCGACCGTAACAATAGGCCGTACGGCGAGGGACGGTCGTTGAAATGCGTTTGGGGTATGTTCGGTGGTAGTACTGCGTTTTCGGTTCAATCGCCGCGGCTCCGCGAACACCACTCACTACCGGCCCACAGCCTCGGTTACAGTTCGTCTCATCACCGCGGTTCGCATCACGTGACCGCGACACGCGCATACGATCAGCCGTCGTTATCATGGCGTCCGCTAGCGGTCGATACACGGAAAGACACGTATGTCAAATATCCCTGTTACTCTTTTGTGTTGCGCGTACCTGCGCACTGAGCAACACTGATCCGAGTCGAACAGTGTTCCGCTGGTGTCCTGGACGCGCTCGTCGCACCAACAGCATTTGTTTCAACAGCGACGGCAACTCGTCAACGATACACGGTGCTAGCCGACTTCCGTTCCGGTGCACGCCTGTTTTCACATCTGTTGCTGCTGCTTGGTACGCAGTCACCGCGTTCACCGTTCACGACGGCCACTGTAGCGTGCTCGCAATCTTATTTTTTGGTATACCCGATGGCCACCGCTACTACGTTCAAAAGGTCTTTCGAGCTGAGAGCCATTACCTACAAGAATAATTCCACCTTTTTCCGTGTTGGAAACGAGGGGCAACATGACATATTATGCGACGTATTCGATAAAGGTAAATCGAATCTGGTATACGTTGTGGATTCGAAATAGTTGAAAAACCATAACAGTAAGTAGTGGTGGATCCGTTTTTGCTTTTATTTTTTCGTTGCGTCTAACATCTTAAAATTAACATGTTTAGTGAAATTAAACTTACTTGGGATGGTTATGGATACCTACGATATTATTGTTGGAACGGATAAAACACAGTAGTAAACTGGTACTTAGCTGATTCTTAGTCTAACATGCTAGTCGTCCTTCTTATATATTACCTTGAGCTGTTAACATTCATACCTGGAATTTTTTAGACATTATTTTATTTATTTGTATAATTAACAACAGCATTTGATATTAGCGCTTTATATTCTTTAAGTAATTTTAATACTTGTATTTCTTACCCGATTCTTAGTATACTAGTTTTTCCTATATTAAGCTTTAATTAACATTTAACATTTTTAACATTCTTAGCTGTAATAATATTGTATATTATTTTAATTATATTGTTTTATTGCAAACAACAGAAAGCCATAAGTTCAATGGATATTTTTCCTTGTTTGCTAAGACTCTTTGAACATTATTGTTGGTATAATTATGAATGTATCGCATAATGTTTATCAGACATGACTTGACTACACTGTTCGTAGATCCAATGCCGTCATTATTTTTTGCGAGGCTCTTGGCAAAAGCAGTAGGATATCCTTGCACTTCAATATATCTAATCATTCTTACTATTTCTAATTTGACAAATTGTATGTGATCAATTTTAAGTACAAGAAAATCTTAGGAAATTGCTTAAGTTGTCTGTCCACTAACAACGGCACTGCGTAGACTGGTAGAGTTGATCACTCCTATATTAACTTATCAGACTATCAGTAAGTTTTGGTTCAGTAAATAAATTTATGTTTTAATCTTTAAAGGGTCTAATCATTAGACATGAACTTGGACCGTGAAAATGGAATTTGCGATAAAGGTTTCAACAACAGGCTCAGCTCACTACATGTGCTACTTGTTGTATCTAGACTATAATATTAAGGTATTAATTGAAGCATTGCATTGTTTTACTGACTATTTCATTTTATATCACTTGATAACATGGTTAATTCAATTAAAGATCATGGTCCACGGGTTCTGCGTCCGACCTATAGATCCATCACTGCTAACAGGTGTAATTAATTCTTATTGTAACTGTTGGTATTTATTTTTATATCGTAGACAAGCAAGAGATGGTACATGTTTTTGTAGATTCTAATTTACTCATTGAGCTAGGACTTCTAGTAATCGTCGGCAATGTGAATCCAATCAAACGCTTCACTAAAAGAATATGTAAGTTTACCAAGAATCAAGGTAGTTTTTAAAATATATGATGCAATTTATAGTTTATTAAATATTAGTTCACCGTTAACATTGTCATATGTAACTTCTGTTTGTTTCATGAACTTAAACATTAGAACATTTATCATAGTTTGATATAAATGGCAAATATGAAAATTAAGGAAAGGCAATACATTTCTTTTTAAATTTTCCTTATTTTAAATTATTTTTGATATAATTTTACCATTTTTTTTCATTAGTTAGTATAGAAAAATACAATTATTTTTGAAATATAACCTGTATTCCATAATTTAATTTGATTTAAAATATTATAAATTTGCTCAATCATGAGAATATTTTAACATTAAAGCAAATTTTGGTTTCAATTATAAATAACATATCTAATGTTAACATTTTTTAATTTATAATTTTTAATTGTTTAATAATAAATGTATTATTTAGATTGGTCTGAAAGTGCTTCAATTTTCTTGCGTAAGAAATATGATGAGTATGTTCTAAATTTTGGTCCAGGAAAACGTTTTCTAAAAAAAAGAGACATATGGAATAAAATATCTATTGATTTATTCAATGAAATGCGTATGGTAGCCAACTGGAAACAAGTTCAAAATCGGTACAAGTCAAGTATGAGAATTAGACCAAGAACTTATCGATATAAGCCTGGGAATGCTCTTACAACAGCACCGATTCAATCTGGATTTCAAAAGATCAATAATATTGAAGATAGTAAGCCAGGAGTTCCTGAAAATATGATTGAAGTTAATATCATAAATAATCCTGCTCAAGTGAATACAGAAACACAAAATCTTGGTACTGGATGCAACATGATAAACACATCGGTAAAGGTTGAAACATCAGTAAAAGAAGAACAAGTAATAGTAAAAGATGAAAGTATATACGAAGAGGAACAATTTGAATTAATTGAAAGTATCATCTCAAGAATGGCATCTAAATTTGAGGAATCAAGCTTAAAAGTATTTTAATTTTTATAAACTATTTAGTAACATATAGTAGTGTATAAGTAATTAAATTACTGATTTTAGTGTTAACATTTTAATAAATGCAAACAGTTAAAAATAAATTTTTATCTAGATTTACAAATTACATAATAGAATTGGAAAAAGTAACCATCGTTCAGTCTGGTTGATTTTTTTTTATTCTATTCTTTCTTAAGATTTTTCAACTTGACAATTATTAATAATTTACATTTATTTATTTTTACATTAAAAAGATGACAGTTCATATCTAATTATTTTTGTCTATCTAAAATGCTGTCCTATCATAAGCACATTTTTAAAAAGTTAAATATTCTCAATCATGATTATTAAATGTTAAATAGTTTGATGCGTATAAAATTAATTTAAAACATATTTAACACTAAAAGTAGATACAATGTAAATTTAAATTAGATAAAATTGTAAATCCTTAACATAATGTAACTTATTCACCTTGGACAAATGTTAACCTCTCCTCTAGTCATTTAGTTATTGTGTCAATCAACCATATGCTTGATATATATATATAGATTTAGCTTATATTGATAAATTTAGATAAGTCAGTGCATTCTTGTAGACAATTATGCTATTGAAGGTAGGATAAGAATATTAAATATTATTAGAATATTGTTATTATACGTGTAGGGGTATTGTGTGCTGTTGCTGTTTAATAATTATTAATTTATTTAATATTCCATAATTTCATAGTATGAAATTGTTATATTATAACAATTTTTGTTTTGTATTTTACTTTCATTGTTTATATTATGTTATTATGTGTTATTCTCTAATTTGGTTGGTAAGATTGTATATAATTTATTCAAGTAGTTAAAAATAATGTGTGTACTGTTTGTATTGTAATGTTTGTATTTGGATGTAATACTTTTTATGTAGGTGACAACACAGTTAATTTTTATAAGTTTCCTAAAGACAGACAAGTTAATGTGCCATGGACCAATATATATGGTAAAATGGAAATAATAGATAAAAGTAATGCATGAGAAATTAATTTAAAAATGAGCCAAAAGACAAAAAAAAAAAAAAAAATCAGAATTTATTTATAGTTATATTTGGGTCCTATGAAACAAAATAGTAGATTTTTATTTATGTTTTATGTGTTAAAAATTAATAAAATGATTGTTTCCTCATAACTATAGACGATCTTGTATAATAATTAACAGTATAATATTAATAACTTACATTTTCAATTTTTAGTTTTCCTGATAAAATAACTTGGTTAGAATTCAAAACTTCTTCCCCTTTTATAAAATTTCTTGAATTTGAAGAGCATTTTACTTATGAAAATATATCACTTAGTTAAAATGCATCCAATTTTAAATTTATATACTTATATTTATATTATATTATATATTAATATTTATTCTAATATTTATATACTTAAGGCAGTTGAAATTAAAAAAAAAAAAAAAAAAAAAAAAAATTAATAACTAAAAATTAACTAATAATTGAAGAGTTTTTGTTTTATAATCTATAATGAGAAATTATTGTTGATTTAAAAATAACCCATGTGACCACAATTTAAAATAACTTAAATCATGTATCTAACAAAATAATGAAATAATATTATATATGATCAATTTAAGTACCAGTTAACCCTAATATGTGAAAAATATTTAAATTGGTGATTTCAAAAATAGTCATAGTATTGACCACAAAGTCAGTACTAGTACAAAATTGATAGTAAGACCAGCTATATTAAAATTATAAATCTTTGTATCTTTACTAATAATATTTGCACAAAATAAATCATGCGTGTATACACAACAAAGCTTTGATTTCATTTATATCAACAAAACATCATTATTTTCCATTTTTTAAATTTTAAAAATTGCTTATGCCTGGTTTTGAAAAAAAGGTTTTATTTTCAAAATCCTAATTTTGGCAGCAATCTATCCTACTTCTATATCCATTTTCTAATGACATACAGCGTCCTTAGTGTTATCTAATTTTCCCAATTGCTGCATATCCTGCTAAAAGTTGTCATTAAAATCATATGGTTGAATAGATATTTTTTATATTTTGTATTTTATTTTGGAATATTATCCTTCTAAAAAAAAATTGTTTATACCTATAAAATAGCGATGTTATTGTTTTAGGTTTTTATTTTATTATATTATGTTTTTTATGTTTTATATATGAGATGTTTAACCGCCATTCACTTTGTTCTGATTAGTATCCCTTGATGTAAATATAAATTATTAAAATATAATTTTTTAAGAGAGTGACTCATTATCCAAATTATTTTAAAAGTGAAATTAATAAAAAAAATTATAATTAACTTGAAAATGTTTAAAAAAAATTTGGTTTAAAGTCAGTGAAGTCATTATAGTCATTAACCATTTTGGAATCCTATTCACAATTAATAATTAATAATTATTTCATGGTGATTTTTCAGTATTTTCAATTTCAACGAATAATGAGCGTACAAGCATATATTTTAGTGAAATAGTTTTATGTGTTCCGTATTGAATTCTTTTTAACATTTCAGAATGTAAATAATCTGATTGTTGGCGGGGTTTTATATCTTAATTATATGGTAAAATTTGGATTTTTATTAACGTTAGGTCTTAGACAAAATAATAACTGAATTATTAAAATTTTCCGTCTGCTTAAAATTGTACGAACGTATGACGTATTATCACTCTTTCCAAAGTGTGCAAATAAATACGTCAAACTAGCAACCATTTTTGGTTTGTACTTTTTGTTATTTTTATTTTTAACTGGATTAAGAATAACGGTTAATATTATATTTCATCATATGATAGAATTATCATCAGTCATGAGGTATTAATCCCCCATCGTTTTTTTTTTAATTTTTTTTATACCAATTCTTGTTATATTTTTAAGGTTTGTAAAAATTATTTGTCTCATCATATAATTTATATTTACATTTGTAATATAAATATATTTACTGCACCAATAAATATTGATCGGTAGTTATCTCCTAATAAGTGATGACTAATTGATTTTTTTTTTTACTAACCCCTCTCTCATCCGTTGAAAGTTCTTGTGAACGCCGCTACTGGAAGGTATAGTACAAATATATAACTGACTGTGTACTTGGTGACTTATATTTATATTATCATATATTATATACTTATATTTTATTCTTTTTGTCGGACGTATGATGCACCGGTGATGACGTCTTGGCCGCGAGAAAAGCGTTGTCGGCACGAAGTGCAGAACGACAAAGGTTGACAAACTTCTCCACTATCGGGACCAGTAATCTCTCTCCGCGTCTCCACCGTATTCCTATCTGTTTTATTTGCGCCCGTTTTGCCCCGAAAACCGAACGATACCGTCGTCGTGTCTCTGTTGGGCAACGCGCATCCACTCGTGTAATACGTTGATACGTTATAATTAGATCCCGGATTTATATGCATTTAAAAAGTGTCAAATATTGATAATGATCTTGTTTTGATCATCAATAATTGGGAACAACAACGGACGCGTTTGAAAACAATGCGATTTATGGCGCTGCCGCAGTTGCGGGTTATTGCGTCAAATGTCGACTGCTTTCAGCGGTCTATCTGTTAATATTTTACGACAAACGCGAACGCGGGTGATTGTCGGACGCATGCAGTGGTGTAGCCATGGTAGGGGTGGGAGCTAAGAGGCCAATATCCCCTTCTTTATGAGCCGTATTTATGTATATGTACTAAAATATTACACTACTATTTGGTGTTTAAATATTTTAAAACTTTGCTACTAACTAAATCTAAACGTAGACAAATAACTGGTGTTTGTCGTTAGTTAATAGGTAAGTTCTACCTTGATTACTACTATCTTTTTTGTGGTTATTATGAACGTTGCGGTGACCCTCATCTAACACATACTTACATAAGTTTTATGTTATGTCGTGACGATGCTGCCTCAGCTGATCACCGTTAATTAATTATTATTATTCATTATAGTTTAATAAATATCATTAAAACTATTTTCAATTGCCTAAAATACATTTTTATATTTGGCAGTGGTGGGGGGGGGGGGGGAATATGAATGAATTCTCAAAGCATTTCTTGCCTAACCTGCCAAAAAAAGTGTTTAACCCCTCCCATTTAAAAATCCTAATCAAATTAATATTTCCAGTGTATGTTGATTCCTGAGACATTAAAATCTCTATTTTAGTTTGAAATAGTTTATTCTTTATATTTTTCATTAAATTTATTATTCATTTTAAACATGTTCATTGTATAGCGAAAACTATCCAAAATTTATAAATTATGTCATTAGTATTACTGCTTGTATAACCTATGGATAATCATATTCAATAATTTTTTAGTCCTATGCAGCTATATAATAGAGACTGGATTGAACCTGCGGAACACTTACCTCCAGGGTACGAACTTCAATGGAATGTATGGAAGGCATTAAATCGGCTGAGAGTGGGAGTTGGAAGGTCTAAAGATAGTTTGTTGAAATGGGGATACATTAATGATCAGAATGCCTTTTGCCACTGTGGAACAACCCAGACGATGGCAAATCAATTGATATGTCCGTTGGCACCAGAACCTTGCACGCTAGAAAACTTAACAGCTGCCAATCAGAAAGCCAAGGACGTGGCTCAGTTTTAGGCAAATGAAACATCTAGTCGAGACACTTACCATACCATATTCATTTTTTTATGTACCTATTTATTCATTTTATATACATATATTTTTTGTTTTATTGTTTTATATATCTATGTATACTCTAAATTGTAAACAAGTAATAAAAACTAGTCTAGTCTTACTCATAGTCACAAGTATGAAGCCTGATTTCAAGAAAAAAAAAAAGCAGCTACAACTTGAATAAGTGTTATAGCTGCATATACAGCGTAATTCACCAAGCGTAAAACACTCATTACCTCAAAAACTATTTACTTTTTTCAATTTTTTTTTCTTTTCAAAATGTTAGATCTATGCTGCCTATCTGATATGTGACAACATCAATCATTACAACTTAAACGATAAATGTATGTTGTATTTAATACACATATCTACTCATGCTTAAATTGTGTAAATCAAATAAAGAATTTAAAAATATAGTAAATATATATGTGATTAATTATTATACATATGTAAATTATTAATATGTGATTACTCAATATAGTATTTAAGTATTTAAAAAATATGTGTATTTTTTTTTTTTTATTATTTTAAATTATTAATAGTAAGTTAGTATTAATACTAAATTCTGTCTGTCAATGGTTGGCGTTGTCATAAAATAGTAATTTGTACTAAATACAAGTTGAAATATTTTTAACAGCATTTTAAAAATTTTACTTTAATTTTAAGTCTGGGGTTATGAGAAAGTTTATTCCAATTTTTTGAATACATGCTATATCTTTACTTATATTTTTCATAATTGCAAAACGACAATTTTGATATAACTGTATCATCAATTTGGAATAGTATTTTTTTAGCCCTGGACTTATAAATCAAAGTAACATTTCATAATGATTCATCATATTAACAGTGGCGCCGAAGTCCTTAAATTTAATTGAGAGAAAAATATTTTAAAAGATCACAATGTCTAAATATCGGCTTCTATTGTGTACTTGTTGTGGGAGGGATTAATTTTCCCTCCTCCTACTGCAAAAAAATTTATTGATGTTTAATTTAAAAAAAAAAAAAAATTCAATTTTGAATCTTAACCACCACATTTTATGTACTTTTCATACAAACCAAGACAGCCAAAAGACGAGAGTTTTTCTCAATCATTTATACGGAAATTTACCTTTTTGGTGGAAGGGTTAAGACCAATTATACGCACAAAATATGGATCATTATTTTTACACACTAACCAATCACCCATTTAAATAAATATAGCAGGTAGAATGTTTATATTATTTAATATAGATATTTGTATTTGGGACAATATAAAAGGACTCATCTTATATTTTCAAAAAAATTCGGGCTGGAGCTCAACCATAGCATAGGGTTTGGCGTCACTGAATATTAATATAAAGTGTTGAGGAATCCATCATGAATAAAATTAGTTCAGAGCTAATTTATTTATCATAGGTTATGTAATATTTATCTGTTCAAATTATTATCTGTATGTGTTAGTATAGTTTATTCAGAACTGTAAATTGAGTGGAGAAAGATTGATATGATATGAATTAACTAGTGATTTTATATTGTTAGTATTTTATTTAAAATTATAAAAGCTTTGATGGTCAACTATCAAATGTATGAATGTTACTAACGTATAAGATGAGAAAAAAAAAAAGCAGTTGCAGTGTAAATTAAATATTAATAAATTCTTTTGAAACAACTTGTTTACAACATATTGTAATTATTATTTATTATTTTATATGTATATGTTACGCAATAATATATTGTTTTTATAGTATACATTTTAAAAGCAATACTTATGAGTTATGAAATACTCATTGTTTATTTAGCCTATAGGTAAATTTAATTTATTATTTTCTGAATGCATTGATATTGTATATATAATTTAACATAAAATAAAAATGTATTATTAAATAATGGAACTGCGGTGTTATTAAATAATAATTTTAATTAAGAGGACACTACACCCGCATACGTTGTCTCCGTCTTACTAACGTAGAGCATAGCAAATTTGTGTTCAGTAGGACCAATTTCATGGTAAAGGTTTTAATTTTACAGTAAATTTATTTATTATTAAATGTAAAGATAAGAATATTACAAGTGTTTATACGTAAGTTTCTTTCTTTATTTGTGAGTTGCATTTTTAATATTTTACATACTCATAAGTTGATTGAAAATTAAAATATTGAAAACTGATATACAAACACAGATAATATTCTTACCTTTACATTTGGTAATAGGTCAATTTACTATAAAATTAAAATTTACACTATGAAATTGGTCTTATTGAACGCAAATTTTCTATGCTGTATGTTAGTAAGACGGAGACAACACATGCTGGTTAGGCGTCCTCTTAATTAGTGTTTTTATAAACAAATAAATTATTCATTATTATCATGTACCTAATGATTGAAGAATTATTTACTTCAGTTTTATCTGGTTGAACTACTTGATCATTATCATTCTCAATAGATAGATCATTTATTACAGGCTTAATGACTTGATCTACTGGAATTTCCTAAACAAAATAAATAAATATTTAGAAATTTTTTTTTAAAAATTACAGGTATTCTGTTGAATAACAGAATATGACAAAATAAATAAATAATATTTATTATTTGTTATACATAATGTAGAAAAAAATAATATGCTATTTATACAGTTTTGCATATTATACCAATGTATTTATTTAATACCTAATTAATAATATTGAAAATTAATTTCCCACAAAATAAAATACTTACTATAGAACTACTAAATTTATGATAAAACATATCAGAAATGTTTTTACACTTTCCAGCTTCCTTCATGAGCAACTTTCGTTGTTTCTTTCTATTTTTGTCAGCCCCTCCACAGTATTTTCTTTTACCTTCCATTTTCAATAAGATGTAATAAGATGTAATCTTCAAGTAAAAACAAATTTATTCAATTTACTACAAAAATGTATTAGTTCTTCTTCTTTAAGTACGAAAAGTAAATAAGTATTAAGTAAAAGTTAAATAAAAGTAAAATATTATCAAAATAAATAGTTGATACCTATCCAACTCATTAATACTCTAAAATCAAATAAAAACAATAGATATTTATATGATATATCTATAAAAATAATTTTAATACATTTAACCTTTCAAATATTTAATTATTTGCTACTTACCTAAAACGCTGTAAATAAAACTACAGTAATCACGCCGATGCCGATGCATTAATGTATGGTTGACTGATGAAATCACAAAGTTCACTTTTTTAAATGTTCGTAAGAATAATTTTATAAATAATAATAATACAGTGTATTATTAAATTACAATATGTATTTCTATTTTTGTTTCAATTCGTCACGACGTTGAAAATTATGTTCGACTTCGAAAAACCCATAATTTATATAATAATATGGTTTCGAAAAAACATCGATGATGACGATAACGCAATGCACCGTCAGTGGCACCGGAACAATTTTTGAACCGTGGGGGATTTTCACAGCTACAAATACAGAGGAAGGTATAATATTATACCTTTATTATTATATTATAACGACTGTGTCCGATTACATCGGTTGTTGGTAATCAAATGATTCTTGAAATAAATTAGATTACAAATCTATTGTACAGTTGCAATAATGGATTTCCTATTCTAAAAGCTATTCTATTTTGGGTGTTGTGTTTAAATATTAAATCATTTCTATTTTCTAAATAAGGGGTAATTGTCTGCATGTTATCTTATTCTTATATACATACCTCTTATACTGCATAAAATATTAAGGGGCTTCACCACCACGTATTTTTTTTAACAAAAACTACTGTTTCTAATTCCAACGCTATGTGTCGACAATTATCATGATTTTCATCCTGAAAAAATATATGAATTCTCCGTAATATGTACAAGAGAACGATTGAGCCACATTTTTAATTTTTGTAATTTGAATTGCAATAAATATTGTTGAAAATTCAAAAAAATATAGAATTTCAAGCTTAAATATTTAATTAACTAAATACAAAATTTAAAATGTGCCTTGATCGATCCCACGTACAGGTTGTGGAAAAAAGAATGTTTTTTCAGAATGCAAATCGAGATAGTCCTTGCAGACGTATGTTTGAATTAGAATCGTATGTTGGAGGGAAAAATAAACATTTTTTCGCGATCATAATATTACGGTCTGACATGTGCGTGCGAGAGCCCTCCGTACCACTACCGCGCCGTGTCTAGATAATGAACCTATACAGTGTAATATCATTATAAGATACGTTATTTCATGGTATCCTTTAATAATGTTGCCAAATAGTTATATTTCCATGTCCTAATAATAATATTATATACCTGGGCGTTTGTAAACTCCACCAGAATATCGGTTAAAAAGTTAATAAAAGGTCTAATGTAAACTCCGCTAGTTTTTTCTCTTACCTGTAATGGGTATATGTGAACGGGCGCTTGTAAATTACGCCCGGGATTTTTTTGGTTCTAAAATAGGTACAGTAAATTGCGCCCGGGATTTTTCGGGGTCTAAAATGGGTATAGTAAATTGCGCCCATAGTATCTACTATCTAAGTAACCTCATATTTATAAATTTATGAATAAAATACTAGAGTTACAATCTGAAATTGACATCAAAATTAATAGTATAAATACCTATAATACCTAATACCTAATAACTAAATACCTAACCTAATAGGTTCATATATTTCATTTGTTTCTACATTTCAAAACACCAAATCAAAAAAAAAAAAAAAATTCAAGAAATGGAAAAAATTATTCAACAGTACAATAAAAACAATATTACGAGGACTGAATATGTGAAGATGATGTCTCATTACTATGCACATAATTTATAACTGTATTTTTTATTATTTACATTTTTAACCTAACAAAAAATATTCAAAAAATTATTAATTTACACCATAATATTTAAAAAAATATATTAATTTTCCTATTTTTATTAATTAATTTATTAATTTCAAGTAAACCAAAAAAAAACATTTTTGGAGGACAGTGATAATCGCTATATGACTATCATAATAATAATCTTTCTATTGGGTACAATTTACAGAAATTTGTACCTGAAAAATACCGGGCAAAATTTACAATTATTTCCCTTTGTTGGGCGTAATTTACGTTTGCTCATGTGAACTCCGGCAGTATTTTTTGTGTTTTGCCTGTGAATCCTTCCATAGTCATCTAAGAAATTCATTTTATAAAAGTCTACTGAATGTTCATATTTTTATAGTAAAATTCTTACCGAATTTCAAATCCATACTTATATAAAACTAAGTGGCATATCACAAATAACGATTATTTATGATTTTTTTGCTATGATTTAAATATGTAATGTGAACGATATGATATATTATAATTTTTTTTTAATAATATATCGTATTAATTTTATATTACTTCTTGATTTTCTTCACTAGTGGAGTTTACTTGAACTCAAT